ATGGCAGCCATCAGTGTTGATCGTTTCATCGCTGTTGTGTACCCTCTACGCTACAAAAGCATTATAGATAGCTATGGATTAAAAATACTTCTGACAACATCTTGGGCATTGCCTATTACAGTTCCAATTTTAATCTCCGTTATTCCTACCAATTTCCCACAGGCAAAAGCTTTCATTGGCTTAGGAATTTTTGGCACCAGCTATGTTATTGTGTTTTTGTTTTACTCGCTGATAGTGATATCATTGGTTAAACGTCGAATAGGAAGGAAACAACTTAGAATGCACTCTTCTAATGATACCAGTCAGCCAAGCGTTGAGATCCGCGTCGCCTTCACGCTAGCAATTGTGATTGCCGTTTTTACTGTTTGTTGGGCCCCGTTGGTTACCGCTCTTTTTGCCACTGGAAAGCCACTGGTGAAAATCCAGGGAGTTGCACATATGTGGATCGGGACCCTAGCTCTGTCAAACTCCGCTATGAACTTTGTTATCTATGGCTCAAGAATGCGTAATTTCCATGAGGCGTACGCTGTGTGCGGCCGAAAGTTGCTTGAAGTTTTGAGACCGAAATATTCTTGCGAGGACACGAAGTTGTAACTTGACATTAGACTTGAATGGCCAAGTTATGTTGTAAAAAAACAGAACCTATTAACTAATTCAGAATCGACTTTATTAAATGTTAAAAATATATTTAAAATGATTTAAAAAGGGGGAACGTTTACTGGTGCCCGGCAAGAGGTGCAATTAAAATCTTGAATGCAAATCATCCGTGAGACCTTCGCCGTGATTGGCCAAAATATTTCTGTTTCTATGATCCAAAAATGTTTGCGGACTCGTGTTTATAACTTTACGTTAAAAGAAGATAACAATGGCTAATGACTTGAGTGAAAGAGTTTGCACGGTGTGCATGAAATTGCCAAACAAATAGAAAGCTAAAAACATATGCATAGGGACCTCTCCCCTGATCATCGGAACTCTTCGTAGACTCCTCATGGCGGAAAAACGTAATAAACAAGAAACAGACATTATTGCTTAGATTACAGTATTTCGTTGCTTTTAAGCAGTGAAAAAGTTGTTGTTGTCGGTGGTGGGGCTGTTAGTATTTTTATAATATTCTTGTTTGCATATACATCTTGTAGCGTATGGCAAACAAACCAACTCATTGACCTTATGGTAACCGACAACAATTAAGGTAATTCCCCTGAAATAAAACTGCACATAGATTTTTGTTCAAACTTTGTCCAATGAATATTTATCATATGAAAACTTTATGAAATAAAAAAAAGGGAGGTGCCCATGCTCGTTAAGGAGCAGTGAGGCATTGAAAATGCCCCACTTTAGCGTTATTTAATGCTTATTAGTTCTTATTACAAGAACGCATTCCAAGTTATTGTAAACTATTTGTGAGCCCAAACTCATGAAAACACGCCTCAAACTACAGTCAATACTTGTGTCGGACACAAATAAACT